ATTTTTGATATATATTACCTATTGTTAGATTTGCATTGATTGACATGTAATTATTGTATGACGATCGTACATAATAAAACACAAATACACCACACCTATCAACTCGCTTTTCATGAAAACCAATTTGTACATTGATGAAATTTCCCGAGATTAAATTCGTCTTTTTGTGTTATTAGTTTAGTTAGGGCTTTTTCTATGTTTCAAAAGTTTTACCTTTGTCAAGTGAGTATCGTCCTTCTATTAAATAATTGGCTTTTAAGAAAAGGCGATATGTTTTTAATTTATTCTCTTGGCCAGGAGCGGCGGCACCGCTCTTTATCACTATCTTCTATCACTCCGAGCCAATTTTGTTTCTCTGTGTCTTCTTTATCTCGTTTTTATTGCAGCAGTAGGATTGGCAGCGTCGGATTGATATGCATTGAGATTCAGAATCATTTCCGGGGGAGGTCAAACAGGTCATTCTACTATAATCCTGTGTTTTCCCTAACGGTGGCAAAATCACAAACGAATAATAAATAAGGCAACGGGCTGGCCCCCGAAACGAAAATATTTATTACTCTTAATTATTTCCCGTTCAATGGTCTATGCAAAAGTTTGGCAGATTTTTCTAACGGTCTTTGTGCAGTTTTCCCTGTGCACATTTTATGCATCATCTAGGTCGACCGATTTTGCTCTACTGTGCATTTTTACATGTCTATATGCAAATATGATACACATGTCGGAGTACCCAAAATCCTTTTCGGTCTTAGCTTCGATGATATGACCTTCTCGAACCTGACTAATTTTTTAAAAAATTAGGTGTATATTGCATATATATATATTTGGACCTAGACCGTTTTGCCCAACCGGTTTCTGACAGATGATTGAAAGAAATTTTTTAACAGTTGCATTTCATGATGATTGGATGATGAGAAAAAATCACCTCTAAAAAATTTCTTGAACCACTCATCGTGATCTTACTAAATATATGCCACATGTCAGAATACACAACTAAATGATCCTTGAAAGGTTTCCGAAAATTTTTAACGCCTTTAACCTGCTATTAAAAGCTTAGACTAATATATATTTTATAGGAATTCTGGAACAATGGACCGAAAAACAAAAGACAAGGTTTTAGGTAAAAAACGCAGTCAGTCCGCTTTGAAGAGACGTCTTGATTATTAGCTCAGCAGATTCCGTTTCGTGCTAACCATAATGAAATACTTAGCTTTTGTTGCTTTGATTTGGTGTCTTGTTTTTGCCACGAAATCGATGGCTTCAAGTAGTGCCTATGGATGGTTCAAGAACAAGGGTAAGACATGAGTCAAGCTAACGAAATAACGTATTTTTCAAAATGAAGTGATGTTTTGCACCAAATCAGCCATAAGTTGTGCATTGAAGTCAATTGACTTCATTATGCCATAGCAGATGTCGGTTTACTTTTGCCTACCCTCATATATATATATATATATAATTATTATTATTATTATTATTATTATTTTTTAATTATTATATAGTCAGTTATTTTTACACTTTTAGGTACGACATCTGTGTGATAAAAACCATATCAGTGAACTGGAAATTTTGTCATTTTATCGACCCTGAATGTGTGTGTAATAAACAAATTATTACATCTCCATTATATATTCTTTGCCTTCATCATTATATTGGTTCCTGAAGATATGGTACCGCTTGACTAAAAAAACTTATATTTTCAGTCTAAAGCATAAAAAAGGTCATCAAACACTACATGAATGTCATGTATAAATATAAACTAAAAATATATAAATATAAATATATAAGTATAAATATAAATTTTATATATAAACAGATTTCCAAAAATTATTTTGTTTTCGAATACAGAACAATGGGAGACGAAAAGACAATGGATATGCATATATATTGTGAGCTCAGAATTTTTGGGAATGCACAAGTGTATAGCTAGTAATTGTAAATATAAATATAAAAGTACTCTCGATCCTCTAGCTAACGTGAATGCGTAAATATATTGTATATATTATTGTGTATATATTTATGTATGTATATAATATAATATATATATTTAGGCACTGCCTAAAAGCGGAGCTCCCGATACGGAAGTCACAGGGAGAACAATTTGAATGAAACTGAAAGGTGAAATAAGATCGGCGAAAAAATCTTCAATTATTTTTTATTCAAAAAGATGATAATTTCTCCCATTATAAAAACCATGTAGTGAAATCGAATCGAAATGCACTACATCGTTTTTTGTTTTTTGTTTTTTGTTTTTGTTTGTTTGTTTGTTTGTTTTTTTGCGCGAGTATACTCTCCCACTTAGGAATTTTGTACACAACTTACCACCACCCCCAGGGGCTAGTTTTGTTCTTGGAAGATTCTTCGACAAAATGTTTTCCAAGGCCTACAGTTTTAGGCTTTGAATCTCTTTTACTTAAAGAAAAACGAAAGCTAACTACAGATAATCTCCAATACAGTATCAAGTTTAGTGAAATTTACCTCGGATGTCTTTCATTGAAATCAAAAACATAACTTACATTCATTTAAACAGTTGACAAGAACAACTGAGACAAAATAAAAAATAATGCAAAAGGCAATGCAAAATACAAAATGACTCATTTATTTGGCAGTAAATTGGCGTTTGTAAATGTTTTTGAATATTTTTTAGCTTTTTAGAGTGAAAGTCTAGTAGGTCTTTATACAATAACATCTTTCAACAACACAAATTTAAGCTCATTTTTATAATCATACTTGCTCGAACAGCTTAATAAACGGTTGAATATTTGGTAAAAATTTATATTTCATTTAATGATTAAATAAATTATCTGTAGAAAGATATCTAAAAGTCTTTTTTGTTTTGCCGACTGGACCCCGCGATAGGAGGCGAACAAAGCTTTTTCTTGAACGAAAAACATACGATAGCTAGTTAAAAACAACCGAATTGTGAAAGGGATTTGCAAAGCTAAATAAAGGACGAATATTTGT